GTGAGGGTGTCCAAACAGGTTGGACAAGCCCAACTTGACCCGGGTAATCTGGCCCGGGTTGTAACTAGGGCGAGCACTTGGTAGCCCTAGTAACTATGCAGCATTATTTCATTTATTTTTTTTATTTTTAGAAAAATTTAAAAATTTAGGAAAAAATATATATTGTTTGCTAGGAAAAGAGGGAAGCAAAGCTCTGTTAAATTAAAAAGAAAAATGATATGTGCAATGCATAGCATCCTAAAATAAGGGCCCAATGTAGACAGTCACTACAATGATATTGACAAAGAAAGCCCCAAAAACTAAGTTACGGCTTTCAACTTAGCTCCCAAGAAGCACGCCGTTAACAAAATGAAATGTCAAATAGGTATATAATCACCCGCGACATGAACAATGCAAGCACCAAAGAAACATGCTATTCATCATGAAGATATCCCACAATGTAGTAATTGCATGAGCAATTTGAGTTGGTGATTTCACAATAGAAGAGGTGAACATGTGATAATTCTTTACCATCCATAAATGATAACAAATAGAAGCATAAAGTATTGCGCGCCTTTGCGGAAGCGTGCGCGACAACGAAACGAGTCCGCGAGTCACAGGAGAAGATTAACCAAACCAAACACAAGCACAATCCAATCCAAAATACGACAAATCAAACCAAATACAGAGATATATGTGGTTCGACAATTTGCCTACGTCCACGAGGAGAGGATGGAAAGATTTCACTAAATCAAGGAGAGTACAAAGGGTTACAATCTCACAAAATCACTCAAATAAACCCTAAACCAAATCGGTTACAATCTCACAAAATCACTCAAATAAACCCTAAACCAAATCTCTCAACTTGCTCACAAGTTCTCCCTCTCAATATAACCAAATCTCTCAACTTGCTCACAAGTTCTCCCTCTCAATATGCTCAGTACAATCTCAAATCTCTGATTCCCAAAACCCTAAAATTGTGTTTCAATATATATCAAAATACAAACCAGATCAGAACAGGAAATAAAGCCCAGGCCCAAACCTAACTGGCGATCGACCGCGCCAAAGCTCGCGGTCGATCGGACAGAATGACAGAATCCAAAAAACCATTACAGGGTTTGATTGTCGACCGGACCTAACCTCGCGGTTGATCGATCAGCACTCCAGAAACTACTCCGTACTCATGCACGTTTGACGGTCGACCGTGCCAAATCTTGCGGTCGACCGACAAGCACCTAAATGCCTTTCTGCTTTAAATTTCTTGAACTTTACTAATATTTTCACCATTTCTACAATTCTCCATCTCGGTGAAGTTTTTTAAAAACTGAGTCGACACCAATACCAAACAAACGTCCCACTTGTTGTGTCCAGTACGAAGTAGAATAAATCCATGATAACGGACTTAATCCATAAAAAGTCGAGAACCCAAACCGGCTGCATCAAAATGATTGTCTATGTACCCCCTCTCCCAAGAGATCAAGCCGTCTGTAGTCAACCAAATGACCGTCAATGGCCTCAATAATTACGAATGTGCAACAAGTTTCGACAACAATCAAACTTGTTGCTCGGAATCACCTTTGTGAGCATATCCGTCGGATTGTCCTTCGTGTGGACCTTTACAATTTTCACATTACCATCTTGAAGAACACCCCGAACGAAGTAATAACGAACGTCAATATGCTTCATCCTTACATAAAAAACCTGATTCTTTGCCAAATAGATAGCACTCATACTATCACAATGAATGGTGACGGACCGCTGTGAAATACCAAGTTCCTCCAAAAGTCCTCGAAGCCAAATAGCCTCCTTTACAGTCTCTGTAATTGCCATGTACTCTACTTTCATCGTCGACAAAGCCACCATAGACTGTAAGGTACATCTCTAACACACTGGCGCACAAGTCAAAGTGAACACATACCCCGTCATAGACCGGCGCTTATCCAAATCTCCGACATAATCCGAATCAACATAGCCAATGCACAACTGCTCACCTCTAGTGTCCCACTCAAAAACTAAACCAAAATTGAGGGTACTATGAATGTACCTCAAA